AGCCGGGAGTTCGGGGGCCTCGTCGCCCGCGCCGCGCCCCTCGATGCTCGCGTACCCACTGTCCATCTGCAGCAGGCGGCGGGCCTCGCCGTCCTTAGGCCTCAGGGCGGGCGGGGACTCGGGCGGGGGTGGGAAGGCGGGTGCCGCGCCGCCACCCCCGGAGCCCGAGCCCGAGCTGTCCCCGCTGCGCACTGAGTCGCGGTCATTGCCGCTGCTGCTGTGGTCCGATGCAGTGGCCGCGTGGAGCTCGAGCGAAGCGCGAAGGCTCCACAGGTCACGGTAGCTGCACTGTGCATGCTCGGCGTCCTGCTCTTGCTGCGGGTCCTGCTGCTGCGCATGCTCGGGCCCCAAACTGATGCCGTGCTCCGGAGGAGTCTCGGGGCTCGCTCCTCCCGCCGCCTCGGCCGCCTCTAGCCTGCAAGGCCAGGCCCACGTGGTCAGAGCCTGCCGGCCTTGCCCTGCCCTGCCGGCCACACGCTCGTGCATTAGGGACTGTGGACACGGAGGGACCCCACGGAGCTGGGCATGCCTAGACACATTCTCTCGGTGCACGCGGTGACCTAGGGGGCTGGGCCTGAACTAAATCCAGGTCGGGCCCTCGTCCTAGGTGGTTACTTCACCCACCGGCTCACAGGGCCAGGTATGAACCATGGAAACCGAGGGTCACCCCGAGTTTGCAGAGCCCCGGCCTGTGTCCTACTGGTTTTGAGCACGTGGGGGTTTTGCCTTGGGGTTGGGGAGGGAGGTTGCGGCTGGTAGAAGCAGTCACCACGGCTTCTGCGAGGGGTCGGGCCACACATCAGGAGTGCAGGTAGGCAGGAGGGTCGCTGGGACAACCGAGGAGCCTTTCAGGCCTCGGAGCCGGCCACAAATGGGCAGAGCCAGGCTAGGCCCGAGCCGGCTGCCTTGCTCCGGTGGGTGCCCCATCCGGGAGACCTTGGAGCCGTCCACTGCCCACCTACCCTTACCCAGCCTCTCCCCGGTCCCCTCCTTCTCCGGTCTGCGGTGGAGAGGTGGCCCCCAGGAAGTGGCCAAGGTCACTCGAGTCCGTGTCCACAGGGCCAGGAGGGCAGTCCCCGGGCCACCTAGGGGGGACGGGGCCGGGCAGGGGCCCACGGGCTCACCCTTAGCACCTCTATCTACTGAAAAATACCTGCCGAGAGTAGGGGGCGGGCTGGTGGGGCTGGCCAGAAAGGGGCGGGGGGGTGGGAAGGCCACCGAGTCGCCTGCGCTGGCAATGTACTGAATGAAGTCGGCATGAGGGGCGTCCCCCTCCTGCTCCATGCTCTCGCTGGCCGCCCGCTGTCGCTGGAAATGGTGCCGCTTCGGGGAACCTGGGGGGGGGGCAGTCAATTAGTTGAAGAAACTGAGGCAGAGGGCATGTGTGCCAAGATCAGAGATTTGACATGAGCTGGAAGGCCTCGGGGAAGGCAGCCCAGACAGAACAGCCATGCTGGACGGGCACAGCCGTGAGCAGGGCCCCAGTGGGCAGCTCAGCTCAGCTCCTGCTGAAGCAGGGGGAGGATGGGGGGGGGGGACTGCCCCACCCCTGCCCCAGCTCCTGGCCAGCAGCCAGGATCTTCCCCAAACAGAACTGCCGGTGGGCAGGCCTCCAGGTGGGGTGGAAGCCACCCGGGGAACAGGTTCTGGTCCACCGCAGCAGCCTGTGGTTAATCAGCACTAGGAATCATGACTCCATCTCAGAACCTCCGCCCACAGTGGGACCCTGGGAAGGGAGGGGGTGAGCCCTCTGCCGACCAGACCCTCCCACACGCCTCCCCACAGGGAAGCCAGGGCTGGGGCCGCTGCCACTCGGGTGTCCTCCCCACAGTGAGCGGCCCTGTGTCCTGGGCCAGCAGGCTGCGCCCTTCCTTTGTGGACAGCTTGACTGGCACAGGCCACGCTTCCTACAGCAGAGGTTGAGATGGGACGGAGTGGCCACAAAAGCCCAAACTGTTACTGTCCAGGGCCTTATCAGAAGTGCCCGGGGACTAGCTGGGTATGGCGTGTGCCTGTGATCCCCTAGACTCAGGAGGGGTGCTGCAGTTCAAGGTCTGCCTCGGCCACAGTAAGACAATGTCTCACGACAAACAGGTACCACAGACCCCAGAACTAGTCCAATGCTGCCTTTCTTTTTTTTTCTTTTTTTCTTTTTGAGACAGGCTCTCATGTAGCCAAGGCTAGCTTCAAACACACTACATGGCTGAGGCTGGCTTTGAATTCCTGTCCCGCCTCTGCTCTCCTGAGTTCATGCCATACCGCACTAGGTTTCTGTGGCACCGGAGGCGGAAGGCAGCGCCTGCCTCACGCACAGTAGAAAGGCGCTCTACCCTGTGACTGGTTCTGGTAAAGCCAAAGCCTACAGAGGCCGAAGGACTGAGTAGCGGTCCAGGGAAGCTGGGACCCCTGATGTGCTGACAGCTGAATCCATGCACCATGGCGGTGCACACAGCCTTGGGCATGGAGGCTGAACACTCTGCCCAGGAGACACGGGCCATCGGCAGCTGGCAGCCTTCCTAGAGGCACGCAGGCCCTGGCAGTTCCCGGCCATTTGCAAGGCCTCCATCAAGATGCCCCGGCGCTCACGGTCACTCTGCGGTGCCTTACCTCTTGTGTCCAGACTGGACGCTCTCTGGCTTGGCTCCAGCTTCCATTTCTTGACCTTGAAGTAGGGGCTGGCCCCATCCAGGCTGGCATGGCGGCGTAGCCGTGTGAAGAACTGCAGTACAGTGCCCGGTCCCGAGGAGCCTGTGCCCATCTCCCCGGGGGCTGCCTCAGGCCCAGGCCCAGCAGCCTTGGCTCCCCGGGGCCCTGCATCTAACTGGGGGATGTGGGGGAGGCAGGGATGATTGTCAGGCACAGAGTCCCCCCTCAGGCCCTGACCCAACACCTGGGTGCCCACTACCAAGCCTGTGGTCACCCTAACAGCAGCCTTCTCCCTCAGGCCAGCTCCGCCCTCCTGGACCCTGTCCGTCTGTCCTGGGGGAAGGACCCTGTCTATCAGCTCCCTTCCCTGGGCTGGGGTGTAGCTGGGCACCCTCCCCCCCAGCCTGACTCTTAGCGGGGATCCTAGGGTACCGTGTCCTGGTTCTGAGAGCGAAGGCACCTCGATCTCGGAACGCTGTGGGAAACCAGAGGGAACCCTCACCGAGATGCCCTCCCCAGAGTCACTGGAGGCGGGGGGGCTGATCTCCGAGAAGTCCACAGAGTTGTAGGGATCACCTGGCAGGGCGGAGCTGGGACCCACTGAGCGGCCAGTGAGGGCCTTCCCAGGGGGCTGTGAGACAGAGAGGGTGGGGGAGGACAAGCAGGTGAGGGAGGGGCCCCCCCTCCCCACCACAGCCAGCCAGGATCCCACTCGGCACCCACCACCACTCTGCCGAGGACCAGGGCTGGCTGCGACGTTGCCCCTTACCTGGAAAATAGCCAAGCTGTCTTTGGGGGTGGCGGCTGGGTGGGGTGTGGCCACTGAGCTGGCCTCACCCGGTTCACACTCATGGATGGTAGCGATCTTGAGAGGCGGCAGGTGGAGGTGCGTGAGACGAGCATTCTTGAGGTGGTGGAAGTCCCCCTCTGTCAGGGTGTACCTGTGTTGAGGGACCCCTGACGGTCAGCCCTCGGCAGTCCCCGGCTCAGCTATTTACCATCTACTCCCTGTTCACGGATGACTAAACTTCTGATCTGATCCTGTGTCTCCATTGATCTATCAAGTGCGGGGACCACAGCCTCTGTTTACCTCTTGAGACAGGGTCTATGTAGACCCGGCTGGCCTTGAACTCAGAGCATCTGCCTGCCTCTGCCTCCCGCCACACTCAACATCCCCGTTTTTGTTTATTTATTTATATATTATTTATTTATTTATTTTGAGGTTCTCTCTCTCTCTCTCTCTCTCTCTCTCTCTCTCTCTCTCCTGGGTTGGCCTTGAACTTGGCAGCAGTCTCCTGCCTCCGCTGGCCACCTGCCGGCATTGCAGGCGCCCACCACCATACTTGGCATTTCCGTTTTCAAGGCAGGTCTTGGCTGCCCCCACGGTAGGCAGGGTTCCCCCTGTGCGGGCCAGGCAGGCCTCAGATCACTGTAGCAGTCAGGGCTGGAGTGGTGGGAGGCTCGGGCGTTAAGGGAACTGAACTACTCTTGCCCAGGACCTGAGTTGGGGTTCCGGGGCCCGAACTGGGCCACTCAGAACCACCTGTAATTCTAGCTCCAGGGAGATCTGTCGCCTCCTTGTGGCCGCTGCGGGCACCTGCACCCACACGTACATAAACATTCCAAGATGACTCTGGTGACCCTCTTGCCTCCTCCGTCCTCCCTAACCGGAGCTTGTCCTTCAGTGTCCATACTTACTCTCTTCCTGTCCACCCTGCCAGCCCATACCAAGAGACCCGAGCCGGGGTCCCCAGCTTTAGCACCAAGCTGAGGCCTGGCCTCCCTCACCGGCGGCCCTTGTCCTGAGCCTTGCGGCTCTGTTCAAACAGGGCGGCCTCGTTGAAGGACACGCGGCGGCCGGTGGAGCTGGTGGCGAGGAAGCGCTCTGTCTCCGTGTCCTGGCTCTCGGGGTCTTCCGCCCTGCAGTCGGGGTCTGTGAGGAGAGTCAAGAGAGGGTGGGCCCCGGGTGGGCCGCGCGTGTCTCGCTGCCAGGCAGGGCGCTGGGCAGGGGTGGGCCGGGAGGGGGGCGCGGGCCGAGTGGGGGCAGGACGGGGCGGGCGGGGCGGGGCGGCGGGCACTCGCTCATCCGCTCACACACTCACTCGCTCTCAGCACGCGCCTGTGCGCACCTACGCCTGGGCGTTAAGGAAACAGAGATGAGTCGGACTCGAACTGCGCCCAGTCTGGTGGGGGAGACAGACAGACAGACCGTCAGGCGGCTCGAGGGGGCGGGCAGGGGGCCGAGGGGCGGGGCGCGGCGGGGGCGGGGGGCAGTCAGGTGCAGCAGGGTGCTGCGGGCCACGCGGGCCCCTCACCTTGTATCGGGTGGGTGCCGTTGTCCAGGTAGGTCGTGGTGGTCTTCTCTGCTTCTTCCATGGCCCTGAGGAGGAGGGGCAGGCGAGGAGGGGTGAGCGGGGATGGGGGGCACGCCGGGCGGGGCGGTGGGGGGGTCCCCAGGGCATGCACCTGTTGAAGCGCTGGTGCACCTCCCAGCAGCGTTTGCAGAGCAGGAGAACGCCGGACAGCACCACCAGCGTGCCCCCGATGAACAGCGACATCACCACCACCAGCAGCACGTAGTTGTCCAGGATGGGGTCGGGCTCCGCCTGGGGGGAGAGGTCGGCGCCCCGGGCGGGGTGTGTCAGGGGCTCCGTCGCACCCCATATCCCCACCCCCCGGCCTCCGGGAACCACCCACCCACCGTGGGGCGGCTGGTGGTATTGTCCCACGAAGTCATCAGGGCAGCCGTGGTGGTGGTGGTGGCCTCGGTGGCCATGGTGGCCGTGGGCTGCATGGTGAGGCTACAGGTAGGGCACAGCGCCAGCTCAGAGCCAGCTCTGCCAGCCCCTCCCCACAGGAGCCCCTGCAAGTCGGCCCCCGTCAGCCCCGTGCCGCGGCAGCGGCTGCCGTCACTGGGGTGACTCATGGACAGGTGGGGCCGAGGCTTGCAGTGGGAGCCACCCCCACCCCCCCATCTCCCCAGGGCGCCTGCAGCCAGGGCTTTTTTTCCCAGGACCTCTCTCTCGCCATCTTTATCACATAGGAGGTGGCATCGCGCGTGCGCAGGAGCGTGTGTGTGTGCGTGCGTGTGTGTGTGTGCGTGTGTGTGTGTGTGTGTGTGTGTGTCTGTCTGTCTGTGTGTACACAAGTGGCTCTCCCACGTCCCTGCCACCTCCCTGGCTGGCCGGTGCGGCCGGCCCAGCGAGGTGGCGCAGCTCATGCATGCCCAGGAAGGGGCCGGCACCCTTGGGAGAGGGGGGCGCGCAGCCCTCGAGCGCACCCAGTCCAGGTCCCCGGTGTCCTTGGCGGCTCAGGGTCTCACGGGGCAGCGCACCTGAGGCGCGGGAGGGGCTGCACCCGCGAGCCCCCCTCACACACACACCCGAGTCACGACTCCAGAGGAAAAGGTCCCCGCGCCCCGCACTGGTGGGTGTGGAAAGGACAAAAGACGCTCGTCTGTTCCTGGCCTGAAAAATCTGGTTCCCATGACGACGGTGCGCAGGGCCGCGCCGGGGGGGCGCGTTGCCAGGCAGAGGGAGGCGGGCGGGCGGGGGCGCGGGGGAGGCCGCCCGCGGGGGCGCCCCGAGCCGCGGCCAAGATGGCTGCCCCACCAGGCCCCCGCCCGGAGCGTGGGGAAACTGAGGCTCGGGCACGTTTCGGGGTGGGGGTGGGGAGCGACACTCAGGGAGGGGCTGCGCGCAATTGCACCTGACTCGCTCAGGGGATGAAGATGCTCCTGGGGTGTCGGGGGCCGCTCTGGCCAGCCACCCACCCACCCATCCCCGGTTCCCACACCGAGCGTGAGCGCGCACACACCTACCCCCACCGCAAAAGCCCGCAGGCTGCAGCGTCGCCAGCGCTTTTGGACTGGACGGCGGGGGGCGGGGTGGGGTGCGGGGGAGACTGAGACCCGGATAAAACGAATGCGCCCCCGGGAAGGGGCAGAGGACCCACCGACCGACCGCAGGCATCAATTTTGGCGGGTGGCAAGGGGCGCCTATGTAGGTCGGGGGATGAATTCAGGCTGGAGGGGGTGGGGCCTGGTGAGGATGGTGATGGGAGTGACGGGAAGATGGCTGGAGACTGGAGCCAGGAAGGTGGGGTCAGGAGGGCCCGCCAGGACGCCAGCCTAGACCAGGGCCCCCCGCAGGACGCCCCCACCCCGGGACAGGGTGCGGGAAAGCGCAGGGAACCCGATACCAGGCTCATGCGCATCCAGGAGGCCAAGGCGACACTGCCCTCGCCTTGTCACTCGGGTAAACTGAGGCCGAGGGCCGGCACGGGCGCGCGCCCTCTCTGGGCTGCGGACAGTGGGCGGGGTGCAAGGCGCCTCGGGCCGTTCCCACGCTCCCGCCGCTCCCTCCCCGGAGCCACGCGCCCTCGCGCGCAGGACTGGGGGG